ATGTACAAGAAGTACTTCCTGTAATCTCTTCCATACAAGTCACTAGTATTTTTGCAAAGCAAAATTTTTTTTTGTACTTTAAGCTTTGTTAATTTTATATGCTGCAGTTTTGTTTCATGATGTGAAAGTTAAACACTGTTTAGTTTTAAAATATATCAAACAGTTTTGTACTTACTGTAGGTGAGTGGAGGAAGAGGATAAACCTACTTTGGCTTATTATTTCTATTCCTATATTTTCCTATATTTTGGCCATGAAAAATCCTATATTTTGATGGCATTCCAATATTTTTTTGGGATAGTTAATAAGTGGACGCCGTGTGCATAGTTTTGGGAGACATGTTTTTGTGACAAAAACCCTTCTAGTTTTCATTTTGCAACCATTTTTATTGACTTTTTATATGCCCGAAAGAATTTCGAGCATATTATTTTATACCCCCTGTCGTCCGTCCGTCTGTCTGTCTATCCGTACCAACCCAGAGGTACTTGTGTGACTTGGAGAACAATGGGTAACAGTAAATTCTCTTTGATCCTATTCATTTCGTTTTTACTTGTGTGTCTTTTTTTTAAGCCTTGTGTGACTAAAAATGGCCAAAAAGAAAAAGTCAAATAAGTACTAATTTGTGAGTACGTCCGTCCGTCTGTCCGAGCAACCAAATAGGATTAGGGGGCCATCTAACAGTAAACAGAACAAAACAGAACAATAGAGGTCATTCCGTAACAATAGAATAAGGGACCATGGCCCTCTATTAAACATAACAAAATAACAAAAGAAATGGCCCTTTAAGTCCATTTAAGTGGCACGTCCGTCCATCTGTTAGCAATTTGGTTTCCGGAGCATAACTTAAGTTCAATTAAGGCCCACAATATTCAAACTTCAAAGGATGATTGTCCATATTGGGTAGAAGACCCCTATTGATTTTTGGGTCACAGGGTCAAAGGTCAAGGTCACTAGCCCCTTCAAATTGAAAACAGTTTCTGGAGCATAACTTAAGTTCCGTTTGGCCCACAGTATTCAAACTTCATAGGATGATTGTCCATATTGGGTAGAAGACCCCTATTGATTTTGAAGTCAAAAGGTCAAGGTCACTAGCACCTTAAAACTGAAAACAGTTTCCGGAGCTTAACTCAATTCCATGTGTCCCACAGTGTTCAAACTTCATAGGATGATTGTCCATATTGGGTAAAACACCCTGATTGATTTTCGGGTCACAAGTTCAAGGTAGCTATTACCTCAAAACTGAAAACAGTTTCCAGAGCATAATTTATGTTCCATTTGGCCCACAATATTCAAACTTTATAGGAGGATTGCTATTTGAAGGGCGTAATACTTTATTTAATTTATGTAATGTCTTACAAATGCTTCATCCTTACTAAAAAAAAACTTTCGGGCATATAATGCTCCGTCTAGCGGTGCTCTTGTTCAAAATTGCTACAATTATGTTGTTCTTGCTATCCAGAAACTTTAATGTTGGCAATTATTTTTCCATTCTTAATGGATTGTATTCATACTTGTTCACATTAATCCTTCGGACAATACCTTCGAGAAGACCAGCCTGAACTTGACATTGATTGATAAAGGACATTGACCTTTAAGGTCAAATGTTGAGTTTTCTTGATATTTTAGCTCATCTGAGGACAGTGTCCTCAAGGTGAGCTTTTGTGATGGCCCATTGTCCGTCGTCCATCGTCCGTGTCTGTGCGTCTCCAATTTCTTTAAACAACTTCTTCTCCTGAACCACAAAGCCAAATTTGTTGAAACTTTGCAGAGTTGTTCCTTGCATGAAGCTCTACCAAAGTTGTTCAAATAATAAGATTCCATAAAGCACTCTGTTAGCCAGGGCAACCAAAATATATTTTTTTACAAAAAATCTTTAAAAATCTTCTTGTAACAATCCGAAAGCACTATAAAATAGATATTTGGCATGAAACATCTTCTAGTGGATGCCTACCAAGTTTATTTTAAAAAAAAAGTCCTAGGGTCAAAATTGGCTCTGCCCCAGGGGGTCATTGATTTTCCTTATATACATGTATATAGTAGAATCTTAAAAATCTTCTTGTGAAAATCCAAAAAGGTAAGAGCTTAGATCATTCTTGGACAGCTCATTTCTTTAGAAAAGACCTTCAAGTAGACCATCCTGAATTGACCTTTACTCATGAATGACCTTGACATTTAAGGTCAAATGTTTGAATGTGGCTTGATTTTTGTTATAATTGGTCATTGCTTTGTTACTTATATTGCATTGTCTTTATACTTAGACACAACAATCCTGTGGACCTTCAAGTAGACCAAATTGATAACCAAATTGATTATGGCCTTCACTTATCAAAGACCTTGACATTGATGGTTGATATTATTTTGATTTCACAAGTTTTTAGCTCGACTATTCGATAAGAATAAGTAGAGCTATTTTAGTCACCGTCAGCTTAACCATTTATGTTAAAAGTCCATTGACATATGACTTTGAAACTTACACTTGTTCATCATCATGACCCTTACCTGTAGACAGGAGGAGGTAACTGTATCAAGCATTTTGACAGAATTATGCCCCTTTTTCGATTTTTCGAATTTACGTTAAAGTTTTTGTTATATGTTAAATATTTTCAAAGTCCATTGACTTAATTATAGCTTTGAAACTTTGCACATTTGTTTACCATCATGACTCCAACCTGTTGACAGGAGGAGGTAACTGTATCAAATATTTTGACAGAATTATGCGCCTTTTTGTGTCGCCTTGAAGTCGCCTTGAAAAGGTGACATATAGGGGTTACTTTTGTCGGCGGCGGCGGCGTCTGTGTCGGCGTCCTTGTCGGCGTCGGCGTCCGCTAAAGCTTGTCCGGAGCATAACTCAGTCACTATAAGTCTGATTGACTTCAAACTTGGTATGCATGCTTCTTTCAATAACCCGAAGTGCAGTGCACAAGGACCGGTACTCTACAGTTCTTATTTTTTGAGTTATTGCCCTTTGTTAATTTTCATACTTTAATTTTGTCCGGGCCATTTCTCTTCAACTAAAAAAGCTATGGACTTGAAACTTCATAGGATGATTGATCTCATTAAGAAGAAATGCAGTGCACAAGAACCAGTACTCTGCACTTCCTAATTTTTGAGTTATTGCCCTTTGTTAATTTTCATACTTTATTTTTGTCCAGGCCATTTCTCCTAATGTATAAAAGCCATGGACTTGAAACTTCATAGGATGATAGGTCTCATTAAGAAGAAGTGCAGTGCACAAGAACTGGTACTCTGCATTTCTTATTTTTTGAGTTATTGCCCTTCGTTTATTTTCATACTTAATTTTTGTCCAGGCCATTTCTCTGAAAGTATAAAAATTATGGACTTGAAACTTCATAGGATGATAGATCTCATTAAAAAGAAGTGCAGTGCATAAGAACTGATACTCAGCATTTCTTATTTTTGAGTTATTGCCCTTTGTTGCTTTTCTTACTTTATTTTTGTCTTGGTCATTTTTCCTCAAGTATGAAAGCTATGGACTTGAAACATCATAGAATGATAGATCTTATTGATAAGAAGTGCAGTGCACAGAAACTGCTGCTCTGCACTTATTATTTTTTTAGTTATTGCCCTTCGTTATTTTTCATATTTCATTTTTGTCCTGGCCATGTCCCCTAAACTACATTGTTTACAAGGCGACACATCCGACTCGCTGAGTTCTAGTTTTTTACTTAGAATGTCCGTTAAAGTTTTTGTAATACCTCAAATATTTTCAAAGTCCATTGACATAATTATAGCTTTGAAACTTTGCACATTTTTTACCATCATGACCCCAACCTGTAGACAGGAGGAGGTAACTGTATCAAATATTTTGACAGAATTATGCGCCTTTTTTTGACTTAGAATGTCCGTTAAAGTTTTTGTAATACCTCAAATATTTTCAAAGTCCATTGACATATGGCTTTGAAACAAGTTGAAATTTTATACTCTTCTTTGAGAGCATAATAGACTCTCTCCAAGGCCTATAACTGTTAAATGGATTTAAAGAAAAATTTTACCCTTTTGTTTACTAAGAAAATTTTACATTATCAAGGCTTTTTTACTATCAAGCACTAAGAAGAGTCGAGCGTTGCTGTCCTACCCGCAGCTCTTGTTGCTATAATTTGGATTAATGTACAAATTTGATCTTGACCTTTATTTGACCTTGGTCAAATTATTGAAATTTACTGTTTATTTATGGATATCATTCATACTTGACAAAAGAACACACTTGACTAAATGGACATGTTGAATTATTTTGATATGACTTTGAGCTTTGTTTGACCTTGACCATCAAGGTCATATTTTTAAAATTTGGTTAAATTGCCATTACCTTTTTACTTACAGATTTAATGAACCTTTTCAGTGTTTACAGTTTTATGTAAATTGGCTAACTTGTTATCCAATTGCTACACTGAGATAATACATAGTCACTGGTTGACCTGGTTTGCACAAAAGAACACATGGTTATGTTTGTGATACTGTTTGTGAGCAGTTAACCTAGCAATGAATGGAAAATATATGGCTAAATATTCCGCTACGAAAAACCGGAAAGGTCCATTAATACTTTGGACAAAAGAAAACATATTACAAAACCAATATGTTGAATTTTTTTATATGACCTTGGCCTTGAATTAACTTTGACCACCAATGTCATATTGTTGAATATTGCTTGACTTGTCATACTTAAAGATTTTCTTTCAAAAGAACACATATGATAAAACAGACATGATTTTTTTTCTGACCTTGATCTTTAATTCACCTGAACTGTCAAAGACATAATAAATTATATGAAATTTGAATTTTATTTGTTGTAGATATATCATGTTTTGTGTAAATACTCTTTACAGTTTTTTTTGTGATATTTTAAACAAGATTGACACTGTATATTAATAACTTATATTGCAATTTATTTGTAAAAAACTTAAATCTAACATTAACATTAAAGATTTGATCAAAGCTTTTTGTAAACTTTTAATCTAAAAACTGACATGTTTCTTTCTATTAGCACCAACAACGTCTTCAACAGATGAATCATATTCTTATGATGAAGGTAAATTGTCATTTCAATTAATAGTCTTACACTTTATTTTTTTTTTTGTACAAAGTTTTTTTTCTTTTCTTCCTATGTTGAAAATTCTGGTTGCTATGGCAACAAAATAGACTGAAAATATGGCGAATTTTACACATAAACTGGATCCAGTGATAACTCAAAAAGTACTGAAAATATTTTTATGAAACTTGAAATATGGGTAGATGACAGTCTGGAAATTATGCACATCTTTTTATTTTCTTCCTACTTCTTCATTCCTTATAGGATTTACTTTAAAATCCCACATCGTAATAATATGACAAGGTTTATAAATCTAGAATCCATATTTCCAGAATTACCTCCTCCTTTGAATTTTTCTTATTCATTCTTTAACTTTCTCATCTCTTCATGGATTTTCTTCAAATCCAAAATAAACATTCATGATATCAACACCTACATTATATTTTTGTTTTAATTTTCATCTTTGTTACTTACTATACATAATAGTTAATGCTATATTTGAAAATTGTTTTTTTTTTACTTATCTTCTTTGTGACTATAAATGGTATCTTTAAACTTAAAGTAAAACTCTTTATTTATCAATGTTCATAAATCTAGCATCGTTATTTCAAGAGTTATCTCCTCTTTAAGAATTTTGTATTTAAATATGTTATATTTTGGTAACACGGATGTTTAAAAAAATAACTTAAGAGTCTCCTTCAGTCTGTCTGTCTGTCTGTTCATAAAAACTGTTTCGACCTGATTTTTCCAACAAATTTACTTAAATTAGAGAAAAGTTGAAACATTAGTTATACTTATTCAACTTGAGAAAATTGGACCTTTTGATTATCTATTGTATAAACATAATTTCCAGACTAGGCAGGGAAACTTAACACATTACTATGTAAAAGACAAACTTAGAACTCAAAAGATTTAAGTTCATTTTTGTCATTCATTCACTGGTTAAATTGAATGGCCAATGGCCCGTCAGAATGTTGCTGGGGTTCTCACGTGTAGAGGACTTATAGATTGCTTGCAATACTATGATAATTGCTTGTTTCATATTATGATTACTATATACATTTTAGCATTTGTTAAAATTTATTAAAAAAAAAATGCTTTGATAAACTTGTAATCGTTTGCTCATTTTGAAATAGAGTATTTAATAATTTTCACATTGAGTAATAAAGAAATGTGTCTCGTCATCGAGTAACAGGTGATCACCAATGCCTCTCAATTAGATCTATTTATCTATTTACAATAACATATAATCATTCAATATTAGTTACTTCTAAAGGAGAAGATGCATATTTTGACATATGGCATATGGTTGAAATGATTCATTTTATATTAAATGTTGTATGATTGTGGTAGAGTGATACATGCATGCTCTATGAAGGTTTCAAAAGTGAAGATACTTCTGTATTATAATTATTACTACCTGTATTTTTATAATTAATGTTCTATGATCAGTTTGATGGGCTGTATGCACTTTTAAGTAACTATTAACTATGTATATTTGATGAATATATAATTGCCATTAATTGGTTTGATGAGTGATGTTGATAAAATATATTATTAGATGCTCATATACCAAAGTTTTCATGCTAAATATCCTATTAATTTTGTTTACACTTGCTCAATTATTAAAATAACACAAATCAGTAAGACTGCTTATAATAGTACAAAAGTACAAAATGTATATTCCTCGCCTTGGATTATGTTAATACATAAATACAAAATATATATTCTGCGCCTTTGCTTATGTTAATTTGTTCATTAGTCATAAAAATTTACCTCGGTATAAATTTCTATGGAGTTTCTCTATGCATCAATGAATTATATTTAGATTACAAACTAGAAAATGTTTGAATATTTTATTAAAGCAGTGGCCCATTATATTGTGATTTGGCAGAGATTATATTTTAAAGGAGCTCCACAGAGGTAAAAAAGTCCCCCCCCCCCCCCAAAAAAAAAAATTCTTACGTAGATCAAGCATTTAAAATAAAAAAAAAATCTGCAAAGGAGAAGTTAAAAAATATACTCAGAATTAAAGGCTCATTATGCCTTAGAAGTGCTTTTGTTTTTATTTCCTCAAAGCATTTTAGCTCATCAGAGTCGAAGACTCCGGGTGAGCTATGAGTATCAAAGGGGGATACTCCGGCGTCCTGCGTCAACAATTCTCTTCTACTCTGAAACTGCTGGGCAGATTTACCTTAAATTTGTCTGTAGCATCCTTGTGACAGTCACACTTAAATTTGCTTATGTCATTTCAATTGGCTTTTTTTAGGGGTCAACAGAGCTAAAAATAGAAAAACCTTTAAACATCTTCTACTACAGATCTAAAAGATGCATGATCACCAAACTTTGTCTGTAGTATTCTTGGGTAGTCTTTTATCAAATTTGCTCATATTAATATGATTTGGCCCCTTTAAGGGGTCTCTAGGGCTAAAAATAGAAAAACCTTTAGATATCTTCTTCTACAGAACTACTTGATGGATGATCCCCAAAACTTTGTCTTAAGCATTCTTGGGTAGTCTTTTATCAAGTTTGCTCATATTAATTTGATTGGCCCCTTTTAGAGGCCACTATAGCTAAAAATAGAAATACCTTTAATTGTCTGCTTCTACAGAACAAATTGATTACCTTTGTCTGTTGCATTCTTTGGTAGTCTTTTTTATCAAGTGTGCTCATATTAATTTCATTGGCCCCTTTAAGGGTCTCTAGAGCTAGAAAAAAAGGGGGAAAACCTTAAGACATCTTCTTCTATAGAACTAATTGATGGATGATCACCAAACTTTGTCTGTAGCATTCTTGGGTAGTGTTTTATCAAGTTGGCTAAGATTAATTTCATTGGCCCCTTGTAGGGGTCCCTAAAAGTTATAAATAGAAAATACCTTTAATGTCTTTTTCTACAGCACTTATTGGTGGGATGATCACCAAACTTTGTCTGTAGCATTCTAAAGGTAGTCTATTATCAAGTGTGCTCATATTAATTTGATTGGCCCCTTTTAGGGGTCTCTAGGGCTAAAAATAGAAAAACCTTTAGACACCTTCTTCTACAGAACTAATTGATGGATAACCACCAATCTTTTTGTAGCATTCTTAGGTAATCTCTTATCAAGTTTGCTCATATTAATTTGATTGGCCCCTTTTTAGTGGGCTCTAGAGCTAAAAATAGAAATACCTTAAACATCTCCTTCTACAGAACTAATCGATGGCTGTACAACCAAACATTGTCTATAGCATTCTTTAGCAGTCTTTTATCAAGTGTGCTCATATTTATTTGATTGGCCCCATTTAAGGGCCTCCAAAGCTAAAAATAGAAAAACCTTTGAACGTCATTTCCTATTGAAATCACCAAAACTTTGTCTGTAGCATTCTTAGGTAGTCTTTTACAAGTTTGCTCATATTTATTTGATTGGCCCTTTTAGGGGCAGCTAAAAGCTAAAAATAGAAATACCTTTAAACGTCTCCTTCTATAGAAGTAATGGATCGATGATCACCAAATTTTTGTCTGTAGCATTCTTAGGTACTCAAGTTTGTTCATATTAATTTGATTAGCCCTTAACGGGCCACTTAAGCTAAAATAGAAAAAACCTTTGGCCATCATTTCATACTGAAATAATTTAATAGATGATCACCTTCTTAGGTAGTCTTTTATCAAGGTTGCTCATATTAATTTGATTGGCCCTGTTTTAAGCTAAAGCTTAAATGCACCAGGTCATGGCTTTCTTCAAATTATTGTTTAAACATATTCTATGCTCAATTTAATATTAGAAAATATTGACAATGGACAATTTCCAACACTGTAAAACAATTGTTTCTGGTGAGTGACTAAGGGCCATCATGGCCCTCTTGTATTATTTAATTATGTGTAAGTAAACAATTCAGTATGTTATATTTTAGTATTTGAATATATTCCAGCGGTCACAATTTATTTTATTTTCCCTATATATTCAGACAACTATATTAGCTTTGCTGCTCAGAGATATTAATGTTTGCTGTGTTCACTATCTTTATTGTTCATATATGCTGAATTTTGTGTTCTGTTTAAGCATTCTTTTGTTTGTTATTGAAGTCTGAAACTACATGTAATTATATGACTTACAATAATTTTCCTCAACTTTATGTATGCATAATATAGGCTAAGTCAGTTGTAAGATTTGCTTGAGATTATGATTATGCCCCCACAATGTGGGAGCATATAGCGTTGCACTTGTCCGTCCGTCAGTCAGTCCGTCCGTCCGTCCCGAAATCTTGTGAACGCAACTCCTCTTAAACCGGATGGCAGATTTTGCTTAAACTTACAGGGATGAACAACCTTAATGTGTAGACGGTAGTAAAGGAAGGAATTTTCGCTGCGACCAAATTTAACAGAATTATGGCCCTTTGTTGATTTTTTCACTAGATACTATGTAGAAATTTTGTGAACGCAACTCCTCTTAAACCGGATGGCAGATTTTGCTTAAACTTACAGGGATGAACAACCTTATTGTGTAGATGGTAGTAAAGGAAGTAATTTTTGCTGCAACAAAATTTAACAGAATTATGGCCCTTTGTTGATTTTTTTCACTATATACTATGTAGAAATTTTGTGAATGCAACTCCTCTTGAACCGGATGGCAGATTTTGCTTAAACTTACAGGGATGAACAACCTTAAGGTGTAGATGGTAGTAAAGGAAGGACTTTTTGCTGGACCCAAATTTTAGCAGAATTATGGCCCCTTGTTGATTTTTTTCACTATATACTATGTAGAAATTTTGTGAATGCAACTCCTCTTAAACCGGATGGCAGATTTTGCTAAACTTCCAGGGATGAACAACCTTAATGTGTAGATGGCAGTAAAGGAAGGATTTTTTGCTGCAACCAAATTAAACAGAATTATGGCCCTTTGTGATTTTTTCAATTTATATACTATGTAGAAATTTTGTGAACGCAACTCCTCTTAAACCGGATGGCAGATTTTGCTTAAACTTTCCAGGGATCAACAACCTTAATTTGTAGATGTAGTAAAGGAAGGAATTTTTGCTGCGAACCAAATTTAACAGAATTATGGCCCTTTGTTGATTTTTAGTTTTCAACTTGTGGCACATGTAGTCCAAAAAATATTTGACCTAGAGTCATAAGATTGACAGAACAGTGGCGTGTGGGGGCATCCGTGTCCTATGGACACATTTCTAGTTTTATTTCTCACTCACTGTCCATTGTTCATGTATGTTAGGTCATCCTTCAAATTAATCTTTCGTACTAATTTTCATGAAAATTTTTAAAATGTATTAGAAAATAAAATATTGTCCAGTGATCAAAGAAAGTTATTAACACATTGTAAACAGTGCCTAAAATCTATAAAAATTACCAAAATGAGGTCAATAGAATATGCAACAATAGCTCTTACTATGTTAGTCTTGCTGTAGTGGTAAGAAATACTGCAAAATCATGTTAATTGCATATAACATGTAAATTTGTCTTGAATTGTGAATATTTTTTACTTCTAAGCCAACCTGAGCACAAAGGGTCAAGGTGCGCTTTTCACAATTGTCCATTGTCTGACAGTGCATCCATTGTTAACTTTTTAGCTCACCTGACCACAAAGTGGTCAAGGTGAGGTATAGTGATGGGGCTATGTCCGGCGTCGTGCGTCGTCAACAATTGGGTTGTTAACAGTCTAGCAGTCACAGTTTTGATTGGATCATCATCAAATTTTGTGAGAATGTTTATCTCAATGAAATACAGATCGAGTTCGAAGATGGGTTATCTCGGATCAAAAACTAGGTCACAGGAGCTTAAAATAGAAAAAGCTTGTTAACACTCTAGTGTCTGCGCAGTTTTGATCCAAATATTCTGGAAATTTGTCAAGAAGGTTGTTTTGATGATATATAAGTTAAGTTCGAAGATGGGTCATGTCCGGTCAAAAACTAGGTCACAGGAGCTAAAAATAGAAAAGTTTGTTAACACTCTAGTGGCTGCAGTTTTCATGCAAATATTCTGGAAATTTGTCAGGAAGGTTGTTTTGATGATTTCTAGGTCAAGTTCGAAGATGTGTCATCTCCGGTAAAAAACTAGGTCACAGGAGCTAAAAATAGAATAAGCTTGTTAACACTCTAGTGGCTGCAGTTTGCTCCAAATATTCTGGAAATTTGTCAGGAAGGTCGTTTAAATAATTTCTAGGTCAAGTTCGAAGATGTGTCATCTCCGGTCAAAAACTAGGTCACAGGAGCTAAAAATAGAAAAAGCTTGTTAACAATCTAGTGGCTGCAGTTTTGATCCAAATATTCTGGAAATTTGTCAGGAAGGTTGTTTTGATGATATCTAAGTCAAGTTCGAAGATGGGTCATATCCGGTCAAAAACTAGGTCACAGGAGCTAAAAATAGAAATATCTTATTAACACTCTTGTGGCTGCAGTTTTGATCCAAATTTCCTTGAAATTGGTCAGGAAGGTTATTTTTATGATTTCTTAGGTCAAGTTTGAATATGGGTCGACTTCGGTCAAAAATTTAGGTCACATCGCCCAAATATGGAAAACCCTTTTTAACAACACTAGAGGTCAACATGTTTGACTCAGTTGTCATCAAACTTGGCCAGGATGCTTGTCTAAGACATTGCTTGGATGTGGTTGATGGGTCAGGTGAGCGATCCAGGGCCATCATGGCCCTCTTGTTTACATTCTGGTGGAGTACTCTGCAAAAATTGTTTAAATTAAATCCCTTGTTTCAGTGACAATAGGCATTTTTCTTGTGTGGTTGTATCAACTGATTTAGCAGTTGGCATTTACTTGTAACATTATAAGTTAGTACTCGTTCACTCCAGTATTTTTTGTATGTGTATATATTTATTACCTTTAAAACTATAATCTATAGAACTCTTTTAACCACTATGTTATTTTAATATTTTGTATGTGCCAGTTTTTACAAGATAATTATTTATGAACTTTTTTAGCGAAATATAAATCATATGCTTCTGTATGTGAGACTGATTGGAAAGCTTGTGTGAAACTCTTATACTGATATATTCTTTATTGCCAGATTATTACACAGATTATGATGAGCAATTTAGAGATCCACCTCCATCTCCAAATCAAATGGGTAATAAAGTAGAATATATACACAACTACCTGGTACATTTACCTTATTTAAGTGGGAAGTGCCATACACCATAAATTACGAGGGATGTTCGAAATGTATTGCTTATTTTTATCTGAAGTCGTCAAATTTCAAGTTAGCTCAAAAGTGTTCATTTCATGCCCTCCAAGTACTCCCCATGGCAAGAAATGCAAAGTTTCAGCTGATGATACAGTATGCTGATTTGGGCACAGTAATAAGGTACTGATGAATGGCAGATCCAAGTGCCTGTCAGGACTTGTATTCTGCCCAGCAAGGAATGATTTCAATTTCGGAAACAAAAAGAAATCACATGGGGCAGGGTCTGGAGAAAAGGGGGGGTGAGGCAAAACAGTTACTTTTTCTTTTTTTCAAAAACACGAAACTATTGCGGAGGTAAGAGCGGGGGCATTGTCATGTAGAAGACGGATATGCTTAAAACCAGTGACAGGGCGTTTTATCAAGTCTTTGTAGTACTTCCTGAGATACTTTTGCCTTTTTTCACTGGCACTTTTATTGCGACTCCTTCACCAGAGAAGAAAATTGCATACAAAACCTTCTTTGCACTCAAAGACTGTTTGGCAATTCTTTGGGCGTTGTTGTGTTTAGTGGCCCAGATTTTTGTTGCTAACTTTTCTGACAGGCTCAAAAATAATGGACAAAAGTTTCATCACCTGTGTACAACATTGGCAAACTGTTTTTTTGTCATATTTTGGGAAAACATTTGAAGCAGCTTTTTTGGCCACCTTAACCCGTTGCCTCTTTTGCTCATTGGTCAAAACAGATGTGGCACCCATCTAACAGAAATTTTTCTGACTTTCAAATGCTTCTTCAAAAAAAAGTGAACCGTTGATAGTGATATGCCTACCTTTCGTGCAATATCACAAACTGTAAATCTTGCATCTCCTTCAATGATATCCTTTATTTTGGAAACGATTTCGTTATGAGATGTAGATTTTGGCCTACCTGATTTTGGTGCATTTTTGATGCACTCTACACCAGACTCAAATTTCTTTTTCCATCGCCTAACTGTGTCATAAGACACACAAGAAGGCCCAGTAAGCAGTAGAGAGTTCAGTGACATCAACTGCTTCAAAAAGCAACCCAGTTTTGAGCAAGCTTTGATGTAAGCCCGTATTTCATCTTTTTTGTCGACGCTTCTACCAACCATTATCTATAGAAGTCAATGACTGTGTGTATTTAAATGGCAAATTGTATGTCTTACACTTAGTCTAACATGTACATTTATACACCGTTGTGTAGATATTGAATTACCCTATACGGGTATGTATTGGTTTTTTTCGTGTCCCACGTGGATCACAAGATAGAGGACAATAAGCAATTCATTTCGAACAGCCCTCGTATATATGATTCACTTTGTATTATTACTTTTCATTTTCAGTTCACTGTAGGAGTGCTTATGTAACTGATACTTATTTCATATAATTACACTCTTTATTTTGTTCACCTAATTTAAGTGGGAAGAAGACAGGTGTCATACACCATATACATGTATAGGATTCACCTTGTATTATTATTCTTTATTTTCAGTTTAACTATTGGAGTGCTATTTTTGTTTTATGAAAACATACTTATTTCATATAATTATTGTTCAACAATATTAGGGGGCGTCCATGGCCGAGTGGTTAAGGTCGTTGACTTCAAACCACTTACCCTCACCACTGTGGGTTCGAATCCCCACAGGGACTTTGGATTCTTTCATGTGAGGAATCTATCCAGCTAGCTTACAGAACGACTGTGGTTCTACTGAAGTGCCCGTTTGTGCCTGAAATAATGCACGGAAGGGCACCTGAGGTCTTCCTCCACCAGTAAAGCTGGAACGTCGCCAAATGACCTATACTATGTCGGTGTGACGTAAAACCAAATAAAACAAACAACAATATTAACCTGGCACTTCAGTCACTTTCATGAAGGTTATTAAATAAACACTGGTATCTAACAGATATATTGATATATTTGTTAACTTCACGCATCAAAGAGGTGTGGTGTATTAGTATAGATGCCTGGCCACCAGTCTAAAGGTCTCTGCTTCGATTCCTAAGCAACACCTTATCAGAGACTTATATACAAAGGGATTATAAGAAGCTCCTAAAATAGAATATTTTCACGGCCAGACCCACAATCCTTTGCACGAAATTTATTGGCCCTTGAAGATGGTCGATTTCTGCCATCTTGTTTAACGCAAACAAATGTTTATGTTGTTTATTGGTGTTGATCAGTTTCCATTTTAATATTTTTTCCTCAAATTTTAGCATATTTCACACACAAATGATAATAATGATAAAAATAATAATAGTAGAAATTTTCAATTGAATTTCTTTGCATTTTCAAGATGACGAACATGGTCTCAGGAAATCTCACGAAAAAATGTGAACTTGGTCGGTAATTAATGGCTGGTACAGATGTTAAATGTTTTACTTCATAGCTTCCTCTCCATTTAACTTCAAAAATTGTTCAAAGAATTTAATTCCATGCAGAACTGCTGAAAGAAATAACTTAAAATATCTTCTTTTAGAAAACCTAAAGAGCTAGAGCTTAAATATTTGGCATGGAACATCATCTAGTCAGTGTCTACCAAGTTTGTTCAAATAAATGCCCTGGAGTCAAAATTGGCCCCGCCCCAGGGGGTCATTGATTTTCCTTATTTGTATAATAAAAGAATCTTCTTTAAAAAAAAATAAAAAAATAGCTAGAGCGTAGATATGAAGCATGAAACATCTTCTAGTGGGTGTCTACCAAGTTCGTTCAAATAATAGCCCTGGGGTAAAAATTGGCCTCACCTAAGGGGGTCATTGTTTTTCCCTTTATTATGCTCCCCGAAAAATTTCGGGGGAGCATATAGTCGCTGCCTTGTCCGTCCGTCTTTCCATCCGTCCGTCCGTCCCCTTTTCTTGTCCGGGACATAACTTTGAAACAACAAGAGGTGAACATGAAACTTTGTAGGTAGATAGATCTCATTGAGTAGGTGTGCAGTGCACAAGAACCGTAACACTGCCTTGCCTAATTTTTGAATTATTCCCCTTTGTTGATTTTTACACTTTGAACTTTGTCCGGGACATAACTCTAAAAGTATAATAGGTATCAACATGAAACTTTGTAGGTAGATAGATCTCATTGAGTAGGTGTGCAGTGCACAAGAACCGTAACTCTGCCTTGCCTAATTAGCTCACCTGAGCATGCTCAGGGTGAGCTTTTAGGATCGATGATTGTCCGTCGTCTGTCGTCCGTCCGTTCACATTTTGTTGTTAACACTCTAGCGGTCGCATTTTTGCCTCAATCATCATCAAACTTGGTCAGGATGCTTGTCTAGGTAATAGCTTGCATGAGTTCGAACATGGGTCATCTCGGATGAAAAACTAGGTCACTGGAGCTAAAAATAGAAAAACCTTGTTAACACTCCAGCGGTAGCGGTCACAATTTTTGCCTCAATCATCATCAAAACTTGGTCAGGATGCTTATCTAGTTGATAGCTAGGATGAGTTCGAACATGGGTCATCTCGGATGAAAAACTAGGTCACAAGAGCTAAAAATAGAAAAAACCTTGTTAACAAATCTAGAGGTCACAATTTTGCCTCAATCATCATCAAACTTGGTCAGGATGTTTGTCTAGGTGATGGCTTGGATGAGTTTCGAACATGGGTCATCTCGGATGAAAAAGTAGGTCACCGGAGCTAAAAATAGAAAAAACCTTGTTAACACTCTAGCGGTCACATTTTGGCATCATCATCATCAAACTTTGTCAGGAAGCTTGTCTAGGTGATAGCTCGGAATGAGTTTGAACATGGGTCATCTCGGATGAAAAAGTAGGTCACTGGAGCTAAAAATAGAAAAAACCTTGTTAACACTCTAGCGGTCACATTTTTGCATCAATCATCATCAAACTTGGTCAAGATGCTTGTCTAGGTGATAGCTTGGATGAGTTCGAACATGTGTAATCCTGGATGAAAAAATAAGTCACCTGAGCTAAAAATAGAAAAACCTTGTTAACACTCTAGAGGTCACATTTTTGCCTCAATCATCATAAAACTTGGTCAGGATGCTCGTCTAGGTGAAAGCTCGGATGAGTTCGAACATGTGTCATCACAGATGAAAAAGTAGGTCACCGGAGCTTAAAATAGAAAAACTTTGTTAACACACTAGCGGTCACATTTTTGCCTCAATCATCATCAAACTTGGTCAGGATGCTTGTCTAGGTAATAGCTTGCATGAGTTCGAACATGGGTCATCTCAGATGAAAAACTAGGTCACAGGAGCTAAAAAAAGAAAAACCTTGTTAACACTCTGGCGGTCACATTTTTGCCTCAATCATCATCAAACTTGGTCAGGATGCTTGTCTAGTTGATAGCTCGGATGAGTTCGAACATGGGTCATCTCGGATGAAAAACTAGGTCACAAGAGCTAAAAATAGAAAAACCTTCTTAACACTTTAGCGGTCACATTTTTTCTCTCTCCTTTTTT